TTCGTTACGGTTCTTTTTCATGGAGTTGTTTTACTACCTGTCATTATCAGGACATTTGCTTTTTTATCCTACTTGTGAAAAGAATCTTCAAATAAAAAAATAATTTCTAAGATGTTGTGATCTGAAATGATGAAGAATCAAGGTGTGCGCAATTAAACATATAGGAAAATCAACCAAGTGTTTGAGAATTAAAAATTTTCGCGAGGAAGAACCATCGTCTAGGCATCAGAAAGAACCAAACTTCTCTATTATTTCTAAACGAGTCAAAAAAAGAAAATCTCCAAATCACCATTAATGGGCAGTTTTGTTTTTGTCGCTTATCTTCATCTAGCATCGTTAATGTCAATACACGGCAAAAAAAAAGCAAAAACCAAGGAATCAATGTAGAACACTCCGGAAATCCCGAAATCCCGAATTTTTCATCTCCAGAAACTTCTTGAAGATTTTTCATCTTCAGGATTTCATTCCAGAAGTCCCGTCAATATATTTGCTTGCAGCAGGAATTATGAATGACTGAATTCTAATCTAATCTTTAATCATGCTAGATTCTCAAAAAAATTACCAGTCACATTTATGGTGATTCTTCCATTACAATGCGTGTGAAACTCTGTATATCTAGAACGGTCACAAACTCGTCATCAACAGATGATATGAAAAATTAATCCTGGAAAAACTGAGAAAGTAGTGAAGTCCAAAATTTTAATTCTGTTCATTGAATCAAATTCCACATTAATACGTCGAATAATTGACAATAAGCTCCCAGTAAACTTCTTAGAGCTAAACAAATAGCAACTTCAAATGTAGTATTTAAGTAAGTATTCTTCGTGAAGTCAGAATCCTCTTAGTGTAACAGAATCGCTGGTTATGATTGCCATGGATTGCGTAGATTACATTCATATGAATACCACCGGACAAAACAACTGCAATTGGCTTTGGCAGAATTAAAATAACACTTACTATTTCTGTAACAACACTATCATAAATCAAAAGCCTTTAGTTTTTGATTAGTAAATCGAATGCGTCACAAGGCTTTCTGAAGTTTTCCGATTCAATCACCATCCTTTCATTCTGTAGTTATACAAAAAACTTCATTACACATGAAATCGAATTCGAAATATGCGATGATTGTCATTTCAAATATCAAACTCACAAACTGTTCCCAAGTATTCGATGAATTATATCCCTTATTATCAACTTTTCTGATAATATGTAAAGGATAAAATGATGAATAAGCATCAATAATTCAAAAATTAAATTTATTATTTTAGAAAGTTAGCAATAATATACACATATTAGTAAATATTCGCATTTACAATAAAAGAGAAAACTATCATAATTCTGTTCAATCTCAAATTTTAATATTTTTCTCTTTAAAGTTATTATTGATAACTTGAAAGAAATGTAAGCAGGAATATGAAGAAAAATCACACTGATAAAAAAGTACTGATAAAAATCACTGATATGATTTTTCAAATGAAAGGAATGTGGTTCCTTGCTAAAAATTATTCTTCTATTTCTGATTCTTTTCTTGTTCTTCTAAAAGTACAAGTATGTAAGATTTTTTGCAGATAATGTAATTGCCTTATCATGAGAAGGGAAGAGAGTAAATTATGGAAATGGCAGTGTTGAAAACTTTTGGAAGATAAAAACAGTACAAAAAAATCAAGAAAGGAATCTCGAATTGGAAGGAATCTCGAGTTAGAAAGAAAAAAATCTCGAATTGGAAGGAATCTCGAGTTAGAAAGAAAAAAATCTCGAGTTGCAAGAACAAATGCTCTTAAAATTCTTAATATTATCCAACAATTTCCACATGAGAAGAAGTTATGGTATCATTGTAGCAGCAATAAGCAGTTTACTGTAAAATTTTTTTTTGAAATATTTTTGTGGAAAAGAAATCTATAAAAATTAAAATAAAGGAAAAGAGTTAAGTAACTTCTTATGGTAATTTCTATGAAAAGAAAGAATTATGTTGACCATACGATGTCCCATCCGATCCCAGCTATCAATTAAGAATGACCTTCCTAAGTCTACCATAGATATTTCACAGCCAGTTTCACCATACAACTTCTTATATTCACAATTTAATTTCCACATTTATCATTATAACATAGACATTTTTTTTCTAAACATCTCTTCTAAACAACACAGGTTCTGTCATTTTTTCGAAGACGACATGTTTGGCTGCAAAACTGATCCAATGTCATTGGATAATGTCTCAACAGTAATACTTTACTTCTACCAAATCATCAAAGTAACAATTTTAGGCAAATTTCAAAGTGAACCGTTGTGTCTTGATCGGATCAATTGAAGAAACAGCCAAGGAATCCCATGAAGCAGTCTGCAGCTATCTTGGCTTAGCATTGTTTAGGACAGCTAATTCCTTGGTATAGAAATGAAAAATCATGAAGATGGTTGTTTACCTTGATGGAAATCATTGGTGTTTCAGTTGTGTACATTCATTTATTCTCTAATTCATTTCTCTTCATTAATGTCGAAATATTCTAAAACACTTAATTTATTTAATTTACTTATTTTAGAAGTAAATGAAAATTCACTCAGAAAACAATGACCTGCGTAAATGACCATGGAATGATTGTATTGCCAAAATGATAGTAACAGTGATGAAGATATCGCAGATATAGTGATAGTATCATGCGACATATTCCACTATCATATCGCAGATATAGTGATAGTATCATGCGACATGTTTCACTATCATATCGCAGGTATAGTGATAGTATCATGCGACATGTTTCACTATCATATCGCAGGTATAGTGATAGTATCATGCGACATATTCCAGCATTGTTAAAATGATAATACAAATATTGTAAATTTTGCAGTAATTTTAAGAGATATATTGCACAGATACATAACAATTATTAATAAACCAAAACGATGCTACATTTAACCTTAACCTTAATTATTGTTCACATAAGTTCAGTAGAAAGTATCGTGTGAACTATGACCTGAAAAGTAATTATAATTAAGACTCACATGTGAATATGTTTTATCATTTTTTCTTCTCTTCTTTTTTTTTTTGCTTTTCTTAAATGGAAGACGAAAACAAGTATAAGAATGTGTTAATTTTCGTGGGATACAGGAAAATAATTTGATTGAGAGAGAGAGAGAGGAGAGAGAGGAGGGAGAGAGGGGAAGAGAGAGAAACATTTCATCGTTATTATTGTGAGAAATATCAATTTTCTATTTAACATATTTTTTCATAAGTTCATTTAATTTCAGTTATTTGTTTAATATACTTCATTCTTTCTATCTCTTCTAATTAACTTAAATTTTATATTAATTAAGGTTAGAATAATTATAAGAGAATATATGAACATGGTTTACTTCAATATTCCAAATCCTTTCTTTTTCATCAATTAATCAAAGATTAGCAAATGATTCATTGTTGAAAGGAAATCAAAAGAATTCATTGTTGTATTTGAATACAAATAACTTCCAATCTATTTGTTCTTTTAAAAAAAATTTGACAGGAGAAAAAGAAGAGCTGTCTGGTTACATTTTAAAAATTCAAAAATTTAATTTGCATAATTTCATTCCAATTTTTTGTTAAAATTTTTTTTTTGAAGTTTACAAAGTAAGAACATTTTGATTGTCTATTGTGCGCATATTTTTGATTTTCGAAAAAAAAAGAAGGAGATAAAAATTTTATCGCAAATGAAATTGTTATTAATTTTAAAATTTTATTTTATTTTTTATTATTTAAGTTTTGATTGTTGCATTGTTGACAATCTAACGGTTAGATGAAAGTTTCAAATTTTTAAACTTTTATTTTAAACGATTTTAACCGAAACATTCAGTTAAATTCTGACATCTTACAAAATTTCAATTTAATTAATGTGAAATTCCAATCCAAAATTTAAAAATTCAAAGTTTTTTTTTTGAATAATGATTGACTAGAAGTAATTATCTTCGACTGCTTATGCATACCGTTAAATATAACACTTCATAGGAGGGTCATTATGAGGCGACAAGATGTCGCATCGTTCGAAAGATTCATTCATGGGAAAATATTTCTTGAGAATGTAATGAGACCTCACACATTCTGTGAACTCACCGACAAAAGTACTATTACTAGTAGTAGCGGTGATTATAATTGTGGTATAAAAAAAGTATTCTGCTTCATAATATTTAAATGGTAAATAATTTTAATTAATGAATTGAAATATTCATTTAATTTTATGCTAAAATTAATTCAATTGTGGAAATAGAAAATGAATTTAGAAGAGAAAAAGTAAGAAAATAAGAAGAAAAAATATTATGAAAAGATAAATGAGAAAATATACCTATAAAATGTATAAGTTCGTGAACTAACACTAGTATTTAGCTTATATAAAGTAGTAAATT